ATCTTTATAGTTCTCATGTTTGATATTCTTTGTGATCACATATTTTTTAACACCTTTTGCTGTCTTTTCATTTTTGCCATTATCTTTGACAGGTAAATACATCTTAGATCTCAGGCCCTCAAATTCAACAATAGGCACGCCAGCAGCCTCATCTTTAAACTTTCCGATTACTTTCTTATTCTTAGCATCATGATACGGGCTATCTTTTGGGAAGTCGCTATTATCGAACATATTCTTCTTAACCTACCCGGACGTCTTTATAGGCATCCTTACTTTCTATTTCATAACATAAGCTATCAGTATCTGTAAACAATAATTTGGCTTTTTCTCCATATTTAAGCTTGATATAATTATAATGGAAATCATACATTGCCCTCTTGAATAAATCCAATATACACATCGCAACATAAGCAGACCTATCAAGTGTCAATACTTCTTTTATTTTAGGTACTGCAACCAGATTTTCATTAAAGATTTTGCTGCCGATGAATGTTGGTTTGGATACTAATTTAGCTAATTTATTTTGATCCGAAACAAGTCTGACACCTACTCTCTTTCGCAGATTCTCCATAGTCTTTCCGAATACTGAGTTCTTCATCAGTTCCCCCACGCGTGCCTTTTTCTAAGAATTGAAATTGATTTACATCTGTCATGAGCTCAAGTTCTATGTCAGTCGTTTTCAACAAAGCATCCCAACTCAATCCAGGCCTAGTAAATTAGTGGTATGGATCTAATTTATAGTACTGCAAACATGTATTCCTGAAATTCTCGAACACATTAGAAAGCAGTAAGATGTCACTCTCAAGATAGAGATCATGATACTGTCCCATATTTTTCAACTCAAATGTGCGCCAGATTTTTGCGCGTGTTTATACTGCTCGTTAGAAATATGCTCACTGTTGAGCTGACTGTAGATATCATCTTTGGATGGCATCTGTTGATCATCAAACTTCTCTACACTGTCCATGAAATAATATGGATAATCAACTTTCTTTTTCATCAGCTGTGATTTCTCATTTTGAAATGCACCGGATGTATATTTAAACGCTTCCGCTGGTAGATTGGCTGCAAGTTTCTCCAGACTGCTTGCCATGAATTGAAAACTATCCATGAAAACAAGATGCTTGCCCAACATAAAAGCCATATACCTCTCCATTTTATTTGGGATGCAATTTATATCAATATTATTGCTCTTTCCAGAATCCCCAATCTCTTGCATTATAAAATGAGAATCATATCCTCTCAAAATATGGAATATGACTGGTATTTTCATCTCTTTGGGATTGATCCGCAGTTTCAAATTGCAGTCTTGATGAGCTGATCCCCTGTACTTACCTGTGATATGGCAATGGTCCCTTACACGAATGTCTTTTTCGCCGTATTTTTCTTCACAAATATGACACTCTTTTGCTTATTTGAAACATCAGTCATCCTCAAGGGTTATTAAATTTGGCGGCAATTTTCTGGCAATATTCTACCTTCAATAACATCTCCTGCATAAATTTTTTCACTGGTTCATCTCCCCTGTAAATTTTAACAGGCTTGGTGTATTTGTCATCATAGCAACAAACCACTTTGCAGCCATAACTGCACCCAGTATGTTTTTGATATTTATTGGTGTATGATTTTATATTATCTGGTGTGCAACCTTGCACTTTTTCTGTGATAGCTTCAAAATCGGCGTAAATAACAAATGGTACTTACATTTGTCTATGATGATTTTGAAACTGTAATGTGTTTTTACCTTTTTGTGGCAATTTGATAGCTTGTTTCCATTTATAACTATGCAATTTGTCTTACGTCTTGTTAATACATCTTCACTGCTAAAACATTGCAGGCAGTGCATGCAAAAATGCTTTCTATGCTCATGCTTGGTTTTATTAAGCAGCAATCTATTAAAGTCCTTAATTAGCACATAATGTGTTTTCTCATCTTCAGTTATCAAAAGCAAATGTAACATATGTTTATTATTTTGTTTACATACATAAATTGGGTAAAATCTTTTATTTTCATACCCAAAAACATGACTATTTGTACGGTTTTGGGCCTCAATCTTAGAATAATCTTTAACACTGCCTGAAAACTCAACACTGTTGTAATTCAACTGATCAACCATTAATTTGTCTGATATTTTTATTTTTGTGGGTTATTATCTTTTGCATCTAGATAGCGAATGTGACACCATCTGAAACATTCATTGTTGTCATTATTAATGAGGTTAATTAAACCCTAATTATGATGTTGTAACTCAGCTGGCAATTGAATATATGAACTACCCCTTAGAACGTCATAAACAGCAGTATTAATATAATTATCATTAATGCTTCCTAGAAATACGTGTATCGCAGAAACTCGCGAATCTCGTGGGGGAGTTCCATAAAATGTCAAGGATGGAAGGGGGGAGAGAATTGGAGTAAATTGTGTAGCTTGGGAGGGCGGGTTCCAACACTGGCTCTAATATTGGAATGTGGGATGTACTTAATCTCCTTTTGGTTGAAGTAGATTTGAACTCAATGCTCTGTTTTACAAAGGATTTTCTGGGATTTAAATGGGGTTGATGTTGTTATGGAAGGGTAGCTAATGTTTCATAGATCCCGTGTTTCCTAGATTTGTAGTTATAGTAATAAAAAAGGGTGTGATAGTGTATAATTGATGGTGAATATGCAGCTACCAATGCCATCTTTAATAATAAGTGTATAATAATTATTACTTGTGAAGTGTGTCATAAGTAGTGAGTGGATAAAATGGCAGAAGATAATGCTGCAGTGAAAATAACAAGTAAGTGCTAGAAATTGGAGAAAAATATTTATTGTTAAGTGAACTACAGCAATGAGAGTGTTTGCAGTTGTTGTAGTACATAATCCAGATATGCCAACCTCTGGAAATCAAAGAAAATTGGAATTTTGGAAAAAAATGGGATATATTCCAAATAAAAGCACAGAAAAGTTCTTAACTCTATTTTATCCGGGCGGTTTGGTGACCCGTACGGGAAACCGGGAGATTTTTGTCGTATCAGGGAGAGTTGGCATGTATGATAATCACACTTGACAACTAATTGTTTTTAACAGTAATGTGCAAACATAATCAATTACACTAAAATAGAAATTACATGTAGCAATGTCATTAAGGATGCAGTTGAGGAGAATTGTGAAATTTAAAGTGATCTTGACTCATGATTATTGAATATGTGGTACCCTCGTTAGCACTGAATTTATCCGTGTAAAGAGTACCAAATTATTTTTGAAAGAGTTCACAGTTATTTGTGTACATGTACATGCATGAGAAACAAATACCCATCCAAGAGTGAATTTGTTTGAAATGTCCACATACAATTCATGTTGAAGTTGATCAGTTTCTCAATTCTCAACATGTATGAACTTGTTGAGAAATGGTTTCCAGAGGAATAGTTGATGAAATTCCCAGACTGACAGTCAAATGCACTCTTTCCGTGACCAAATCAATTGACAATGTGTCCAGATATTAATGGCTTCCAAATTCCAGTCAAAACTTCGTGTACTGAGGACACAGATGACGTAAAGCAAAAGACCTCTTTGTTTTCTTATCAGGGAAAATCGTCTTGATTGTTGTTCTTTTGTTTTACGTCATCTGTGTCCGATACACAAAATAAATGCCCAGACTCTTATGAATGTAAAGTACAGAATGGATTGATCTTGTAGGAAACCCTATATATGCTTGTTGTTTAATTTCTGGAAACAATATTCTGCCAATGGAACATGTTCAGCATTGGTGAATATGCACAAATATGTCACCTCCCTCTGACTTCTGTGAAAGAGTGCAATTTTCCCTGACTTACACTGAAATTCCCTGACTTGCTAAATTGTCGCTTACGGCTAAAAGAATTAATTTTCCTTGCACGGTAACAAATGTCACACACTAATATTGTGAAAAGATTCGAAGTACAGATGTTCTTTTCGAATTATATTAAATACGTTCTATAATAGGAGGTCAGCAATAATAAATTTTTGCTGTGTTTGACTTAAAAGACACAGCTGTGTTTATGTATAAGGCTGCTATTCATAGATATATATTTTTACTTGGGATGGTTTTGGAGAAGTAAATGTAATGAAAATTTTTGTTTAGTAAGGACTTTGTTTACAAATTTAACGCTTCCCTTCATGTCACACATTATCGGTGTTATAAACTGTTCATTGCAAAATAAAGCTTACTGTAAAACCCATTATTGCTCATGATGTAAAGGCTGATAGGCTGTCCTCAGTCCGTTGGAAAGATATTCTTGACGTGCATTGTACAGATCCTGTAACTGTTGCTGCCTATCGTTGCATCGAAGAAGACAAATTTTACTGTAAACTGCGAGCGTTCCCTGATCTCCTCATCGCTTTTGGAAGCGTCGGCAGTCGGTGTTCTCTCTCTTCATTGGCTTCATTTGCAGTGTAATTGTAGTATCTTGTCGCTGCCTCTGTACATGTTTGTGGTCGCTGTTTTGACGACGTTGCCTTCGTTCTGCTTTAAAGCTTCGCGGCTTCTTGTTGTCTTCTCCGCTCGCGATGAATTTTAGTGGGTGTTCTCCAGAGGAGTTTCGGTGAAAAATCTTGCCAGCGAGGATTTCCAGCCACTTGTTGTGGTTGTTGTTCCGTGTCATTTGCATTGCAAATTGCTTGTGATTCACTGATCGTAAACATGGACGATGAATCAGCCTTTCATGAATAATACATGAAAATGTGCAAAGTCTATGTTGCCTGGAAACGCAAAATGCTCCATGACGTAGCGCTACATGACGTTATTGGCGGACACCAAGCATATATTCATAGAAAGATTGATATATTTATGGGACATCGAATTTTGCATCTGGCTAAGACCACGCGCGGTTCACATAATGCGCGTGCTTCGAGCGCGACAAAATTATAAACTCTCTTCGCGAGAACAATTATCTGGCCACTGGCCTCAGACTGCCGGACAGCTATACCACTTAGTAGTTGCTGTTGCCATAATTGTAGACTACGCATAAAATCATTGGTATTAATTATAATCTGCGCCCTACTATTGAAATATGCTGTTTTTATATATATATTTGCATCATCTTTTCTCTTAGTAAATGTACTGAAAAGTATGTACAGGGTCAGGTTGAGGTAAGGAAGGAAATTTTGATATACCTAAACAAAAAAAAAGTTAAGCAACCTCATATAGAAGGCAATGGGTATAATCAACAAGAGTTTAGCACTTAATAATTGCAGCGATCCTGTATTCGTAAAAATTGCCTTAGTTACTGACTAGCGTCTGTAAACAGAGACTTGTAAGTGCTTTGAAATTACGGTTGCTGATCAATGTCAACGGTTTTGTATTTTTTTAAAATAAATATTACTTGAGTGAAATTTATTTAGTATATTCAACAGACAATAAAGCAAAATACAGTAGCTCGTACAATAACATCAAAAAAAAAAACAAAAAGTGGTCATCTAATTTCTTTGCGACATTTCCGCTTTGGTGTGTTGGTAGTGAAAAATCCATGGCGCACGCTTGCGTTCTATTTCCAGTCCTCCATTAACTGCGCTGTCAATTATTTCCCATTCCTTACCACCCCACGTGTCTTTGTTGAGGAATTTTTCTGAAAATCCTCCG